TATAATCGACTTTGAATCTGATTCTCAATCCAAATTTTTTACATGGGTTTCTGAACTGTATTGTCTACACAAAAAACACATAGCAAACAACTAGGAATGCATTTTTTTAGACACATACTATCTTAGTCAAAAATTTTTTAATCTCTCCCCAAAAAAAAACAATTCAAAGGACTACGTCCCTCCTCTGCCTTCAGTGGTGACTTACGCCCCTGTACGTAACTAATGCAGAACTTAAAAATTGAATATCTCTGTCCAGGTAAGCCATCAGTAGCTCATATTTTAAATTTATTAGTTTCTCAGTGAGTGTGATCATTTGTACCCCACATGATCGTCCCCGCTACTTATCAGTACAAACAGTTCTATTGTAAGATGTGAAACTCACACATCTTTTTTTTTCTTCATTATATTGGATACTGTGAAAGTAAAAATTCCTTGTTTAGCTATTTTCTAACGGGCACTATTTCTCGTTTTCATTCTTGCTTTTAGCTCGTCATTTATTCATTTTTCTTTATGTAACATTTTTGTTATATTAAATATTGAATTAAAGGACAAATAAAGATGAGATATATCACCATTATATTAATACTAATTGTTAAGATCTGTAGTGGAAGAAGAAGAGTACCGCAAAAGCTTGATCTTAAAAGTTTCATGCATCACTTTCCTCGAAAATATATGTGAATTTAACAAAACTAAATACTTCTAGACCTTCTGCCTAGAGTTGTAAGCAATTTACTAGGATTAAAGTCTCTAGCATGACATATACCAAATATTCAAACTATGCCATTTTGACCTAGGATTTCATCCATTAATATGTCTATTTTTAAGGAAAGTTATCTGAAAATTTCAGCTCAATATAATATTGGATTCGTGAGATATTTAATAATTCTACAGAAAATTGAACATAATAAATATTCTATAATCATGTCTTTTTTACCTCGATTTAAAAAGTCGTAACAATTGTAAGGAGATCATGCTCAGAATATAAGAAAATTATGAAGTCAACATGTTATAATACGAGTATGTGTGCTTCGCTTAATTCAACATTAAAAATGTCTCTTTTGTCTTGAAAAATGTCCTGCAAAATAGAGCATAATTGAAAAGTTCATCATGTGCTTTTCTCTGGTTCGATTCCAGTCTCGAAAAGTCGATATTAAGAACTATTTTCCTCAATATGAAAAGTGAGCATAGATATATTTATACGCGAAAGGTATTTTCTCACTATTATTTCATCAATAAAGTTCCTTAATTATACTTTGCATATATAGTTGTACATGTGTCATTTAGTAAGTAAGTTATTATTACTGTTTGTATTATTTGTATATGAAGCAGAAAGCACTTAATAGTAACTTCTTTGTACCTCCACTTTTAATTATCAATACTGACCTATTCTATCGTGATCCCGTCTTCTCTGTCGATCATCCGGACTATCACTAATAGATGGTTTATTAACTATCTGTAGTGATATTCATGGACAATTTTATGATTTAGTGAAGTAAATAAATATTATTTTCGATTATAATAATTGAATGTTTATTTTTCTTGTGGTAGATTATTTGAAATTGGTGGTTCTCCATCTCATATTCGTTATTTATTTCTTGATGATTATGTTGTTTGAGGCTATTTTGAAATAGAATGATTTCATATTATTGTTTATTTTAATTTTATTTGAAGATATTTGTTTTTTTTTGTTTATTTAGTGCACTTTATTTATGGTCATTGAAAATTCATTTTCCTCAAACATTCTTTTTACTTAGAGGAAATCACGAATGTCGACATTTAACGGATCATTTTGCGTAAGAAAATTTTCCTTTGATAATTATAAGAAAATTTTGATTCTGTTTTTTTTATTTAGCTTCAAATAGGAATGACTTGTCAAATATACAGAAAAAATTTATAATACTTGTATGGAAGCGTTTGATTGTCTTCCATTAGCTACTGTTGTGAATAATCAATTTCTATGTGTACATGGTGGTCTTTCACCAGAAATTCATACTTTAGGGTGTGGGTGGGTGTACTTGTGCGTGTAGGTGTGCATGTGTATGTCTTTCTCTTCCTCATACACAACCACATCCATACCCTTTTCAAAATATGAGTTACGACATGTTATTAATTTATCATAAAGATAGATTGAATACGATTGCGTTAGATCGTGTACATTTGAAATTAGTACATTTCCAAGTCGAATAGTAGTAATAAGAAATACCTTTTGATATTCTATGTTTGAAAACAATGTAAAAATTCAATAATATTGCGTGGAAGAGTTTTATTTGAATGAACTGTTCAATGGCAGTGATGTTTTCATCCAATCAAACGACTATATACTCTTTACTGTCATTGAAATCAATAAAATGGTTTTGGCATCGTAGATTGGTTTCGTCCATAATCGTCATTAAAGCTAGAAAAATCAGTTCTAAAGCGGTACTTATCGGATACTAAGTACGCTGCATAACTTCTTGTTTTACGATGGATTGTTTCACGATTTTTTTCCCCTAGTATACTAGTTCCTATATTCTTTCAAAACTCCACTTTATCTATTATCTTCTTTACTGATTGTACAAACACTATTGACAACATTGACGAGCACGCAAGATAAAAACAAAAGATGAGCATGAATCTTGAGTGCCTAGATCTAGATTTTATTGACCTCGAAAATGACAATCATTAGTTGACTTTGGCTCTATCATATTTATTCAAAATGAGAGTGAAGATTTTAGATCGATAAAACATCCACAGCAGCATACAAAATGTGTCGGGTATGATTATGCGTATGGGTGGGCATCTGTATGAGCCTTCATTTTCATCTGCATCGACTCACCTACTCACAAGCGAACTCGCATCCATGCATTATCGTGAGCAAAAGTTTAAAGTATCGCATTCTGATACCGCCAATAAGTATTCACTTACTACAGCAGTCTGAAAATGTTTTTTATATTAGCAGATTCAGAAATCGATTCTCTTTCTCACAGTATAAAGAAAAACTTGATGTGTTAAAATAAAAGAGACAGCACAGATACCTCTAACATTGGTTTGCTGTATCAACATCGATTCTTTAGACAAGTTAATAAATTTATTTAAGTACCACATGTAGATGAGTTCGGTTCACGTTTTTTTTTTGAAACCAGACCGATTTCATTTGTACCAAACAGAAAATTAGAACTTTTTTCTATGAATAATTTTAAATCAAGATAATCAAGATTTTCATTGTAATCTTTTGTTGTTTATTTAATAAATTGTTCTTATTGATGAATAAGAGAAGGACGATATGCATACACAGTAGCATCATAAAGTCCTTGCAAAAATTGTGTCGGTTTTTTAAATTTTAATGATTGTTCTGTGTCTTCACATCGTGAAAAATTCTTTTTCTGGAATATAAGTAACTAAACAATTCAAATGTAAGAAATATAATTGGAAAATGTTCTTTGAAATTATTGTCAACAAGTTTTATTGCTTCAAAAATGATTCTCAAATACTAATGATAATTCATTTTTTCGACTAATATTTTCCATTCAATTGTATACCTGAACTTGATTGTCGATTTTTATTGCCAACGAAAATTCGATTTGTCATACAGATAGAAAATATTAGTTTACAATAATCATATAACAATATTTTATGCAAGTTTACATCACTAGATCTTTGGACAAAACGATGAAAGAGTAAAATTTTTTTACGTATTTCATTTTGTTAATTATGAGTGAAAAAACATGCTTCATGTTTATAACCAAGTCTGCACGTAGAAAATAATTAAAGAAAAAGATTAGTTTCGAAAATGATTGTTTTCAGAATTTTATTCAAGATGAAGCTTGTTAGCGCAGTCCCTATGGGGATGAAATTCGAAACTTGCATACGTTCTTTGATCTCATCAAACTAATGCAAAATACGTAAAATGGAAACTCTCATCACACGAAAGACCTCTCTCATTTCTACATTCTGAATAGAATATTTTTCCTGCAGACTCCCTAGTTTTTTTCTACATTGTTACTATCCAACCGCTATTGTCAATCTTCGTATTTCGTTTTTCTTTTACATTGTTATTATTATATGCATTGAATTAAATATCGAATGAGACTGTTGTAAGTATCTTTAATATCTAAAGCAGCAGGTTTCAACTCACTATTGTTTATCTAGATCAACTGATAAACACAGATATGGATTATCTTCCAAAGTTACAACTTGATGAAGTTATGCTTTCTATCTTGAGCATATGAGAAATGTAGCCAATACATTTATAAATAGCTACTCATAATCGTTCACATCTATAATATAGATTAATATCTGCGCAAAAATTAGAAACTATATTATTTAGAATTCTACATCAAAATGCTAACGCCAGGAGGTGTTGTATATTTTTATGTTTAGGGCGTGATGATACCGTGCCTTGTCAACCATCGGCGATGGTGTACACATTCCATTATTATTATTTTTGAGAAGTATGTAAAAGTATTCTAATTCGACAATAGTATTGAGTGTATCTTCATGATTTATGTGTTCTCTTATTTGCAGACGTTCAGCGGGATAAAGTATCTCTGTATTTGAAAGTTGAACTTCATTCAACATTGAGCTTGATGATAGTTCATCGTGTGCTATTATTATTATAATGAATACGACCTCTATGAGTGTCCAGAAAAAAATACATTGGAGCTTATACATTTATAACGATGAGTCACAAAAATTCCTTTTTCATCTAGATAAAAAAACATTCTTTGGATTAGAAAAAGAAAGTAAGTAGGTGAAATTATTCGAATACGTCACTATCTCTTGTTATCTGCGTCAAAAAGGTATGACTCTTATATGCGTCTTGTGAATATCAAGCCATCTATGTATTCTGATTGTTATACAAGATTGTTTGCATTATCCAATGATTTTGATATATTCTTAATATTCTATTTAATCACC